GCATGACAGTTTTTAAGAGTGCACCTTTGTTTCAATGAGATGTAACTTTGGCCATGTCATATTTATATATATATATATATATATATTTACTTTTTGTCTTTTTTTTGGGACATCCTACCATGTAGGCCGAGCCCGTGCTTGTATTATGTTGAATTTTAGTTGACTCATTAATCACAGTGTTAGTCTTGAGTCTGATTTTATTTTATGGATTTTTGTGGTGGTTAAGAGACTAAATGAGTTGAGTTGAATTGAGTTGATGCAGTCGCCTGTACAGTTTGTCTACTGTATATCGTCAGACACTAATGAATGAATGTTTATTTCTTATATTTCTTTGTACAGTGTCATCTGCTTTCTTATTTCATCACAGCCTCAGTTTGTTCTTATGTATAATTATATTCACGTCACACAGTTCAGTGTCTGGTTCTGTTAAAAATAAATACTTAGTCTCTGAAAAATACAAATACTGTTTGCAGAATAAAAATTATGAACTCTTTACTAAAGACATGACATCCATCAGCTACACAGGGATGATTTACAGAAACATTCACTCCTACAGGTGATTTAGCGTCACTGATAAACCTGTTGGTTCCAGGTTTGAACCCAGAACCTTTTTGTATATAATATACAGGTGAAACTCAAAAAATTAGAATATCGTGCAAAGGTTCGTTTATTCCAGCAATTAGATTTACAAGGTGAAACTAATGTATGACATAGGTTCATAACATGCAACTCAAGATATTTCAAGCCTTCATTTGATATAATTTTGATGATTATGNGTTTTCAAAAACTGTAAGCCATGATCATCAAGATTATAACAAATAAAGCCTTGACATATCTCACTGTGCATGTACTGAGTTTATATCACATGTTAGTTTCACATTTGAAGTTGAATTGCTGACTTGAATGAACTTTTGCACGATATTCTAATTTTTTGAGTTTCACCTGTATATATGTTGGGCAGGTTCATTCCATTGTTCCCTGAGTGGTAGGAGGGAGGTTTGCCTTGACCTTTAATTGACTGCTTATTTTTGGTGATTTATTATTGATTGAAGAATGTTTGATGGGAGAATGTATTAAATGATGTGTATTTTTTTTGGAGGTCTATTGTGGGCCCTTTTGCAGAGGTAGTTGGTGGAGCATAATATTAATCTGTGATCTAATTGGGAGTTGGTTGGGCTGGGGAGGAGCTTAGTGTATATTATGCCCCGGCCAACACCAAGCTCGAGAGAGAGTGAGTGACTCACGCCAGAGCAAGCACATTGTGGGTGTGATTTGAGCGTGGATTTTTTTTGGTTTTTTCTCCTTTATTATAATTGATACTTGTGTTTTGTACACTGTAAATATGCACAGCTTAACAGCAGTTTGCAACTCCAGCCATAATTCTTCAACAACAAGAATCCCACATTTGTTTGACAAAGTCAAAAAAACATCATACTATAGTAAGGCATAAAAAGTCACAAAATCATCGTAGTGTAGCAAGGCATAAAATGTCACAGTATAGTAAGGCATAAAAAGTCATAGTATATTAAGGCATAAAAAGTCATAAAAACATCATAGTATAGTAAGGCAAAAAAAGTCATAATATAGTAAGGCATAAAAAGTAAAAAAAAAGTCATAGTATAGTAAGGAATAAAAAGTAAAAAAAAGTCAGAATAGTAAGGCATAAAAAGTGAAAAAAAAAAGTCATAGTATAGTAAGGCATAAAAAGTCATGAAAACGTCATGGTATAGTAAGGCAAAAAAAGTCATAGTATAGTAAGGCATAAAAAACAAAAAATAAAGTCATAGTATAGTAAGGCATAAAAAGTAAAAAAAAAGTCATAGTATAGTAAGGCATAAAAAATTTTAAAAAAGTCATAGTATAGTAAGGCATAAAAAGTCATAGTGTAGTAAGGCATAAAACGTCATGAAAACGTCATAGTATAGTAAGGCAAAAAAAGTCATAGTATAGTAAGGCATAAAAAGTAAAAATAAAAAGTCATAGTATAGTAAGGCATAAAAAAAAAAAAGAGTCATAGTATAGTAAGGCATAAAAGATGAGAAAAAAAAACGTCATAGTTGTAAAGGCATAAAAGTAAAAAAAGTATACTAAGGCCTAAAAGTTAAAAAAAAAAAAAAAAGCATAGGATAGTAAGGCATAAACGTCATAGTATTAGTAAGGCATAAAAAGCATAAAAAAGTCATAGTATGGTAAGGCTTGAAATTTTTTAAAAGGTCATAGTATAGTAAGGCATAAAAAGTACATAGTATAGTAAGCGATAAAAAGTAAAAAAAAAGTCATAGGTATATTAAGGCCATAAAAGTCGCAAAAAAAAGTCCATAGTAGTAAGGCTAAAAATTTTTAAAAAAGTCATAGTATAGTAAGGCATAAAAAGTCATAAAGTCATAGTTAGTAAGGCATTAAAAAGTCATGAAAACGTCATAGTTATAGTAAGCATAAAAAAGTCATTAGTATAGTAGGCATAAAAAGTAAAAAAAAAAGTCATAGTATATTAAGCATAAAAAGTCCAAAAATAAAGTTCATAGTATAGTAAGGATAAAAAGTCAAAAAAAAAGTCAAGTATAGTAAGGCTTGAAAAATTTTTTAAAAAGTCATAGTAATAGTAAAGGCTAAAAAGTCATAAAAAGTCATAGTATAGTAAGGCATAAAAAAGTCATGAAAAACTCATAGTATAGTAAGCATAAACAACATAGTATAGTAAGGCAAAAAATCATAGTATAGTAAGGCATAAAAGTAAAAAAAAAAAAATCATAGTATTAGTATAAGGCATAAAAAAGTCCAGTATAGATAAGGCATAAAAAGTCAAAAAAAAAGTCACAGCTATATTTGCATAAAAAGTCAAAAAAAGTCATAGTATGTACAGGCATAAAATTTTTTTTAAAAGTCCATAGTTATAAAGGCATAAAAGAGCATAAAAAAGTCGATAGTATATAAGGCATAAAAAGTCATGAAAAGTCATAGCTATAGGAAGGCATAAAAAGTCATGTAATAGTAAATGCCAAAAAAGTTCATAGTATAGTGAAGGCATAAAAAGTCTAGTTAGTAAGGCATAAAAAGTTCATAGTATAGTAAGGCATAAAAAGTAAAAAAAAAAAGTCATAGTATAGTAAGGCATAAAAAGTCATAGTATTAGTTAGGCATGGAAAAGTAAAAAAAAAAAGGTCATAGATATAGTAGGCATAAAAAGCATTAGTATAGTAAGGCATAAAAGTAAAAAAAAAAAAAAGTCATAGTATAGTAAGGATAAAAAGTCTATAGTATAGTAAGCCAAAAAGTCCAAAAAAAAGTACACAGTAAATTAAGGCATAAAAAGTCAAGCAAAAAAAGTCATAGTATAGTAAGGGCATAAAAGTAAAAAAAAAAGTCTAGTATAAGTAAGGCAATAAAAAATTTAAAAAATTCATAGTATAGTAAAGTCATAAAAAAAGTCAGTGAAACGTCATAGTGAGAGTAAGCATAAAAAGTCATAAAAACTCATAGTAGAGTAGGCATAAAAGTCATAGGTATAGTAGACATAAAAGTTAAAAAAAGTCATCAGTGTATAGTAAGGCATGAATCAGAGCGGCGGGGAGTCAGGGGAGGAGGGGGAAAGAGGGGAGTAAAATATAGTAAGATATAAAAAGTAAAAAAACATAATAGTATATAAGGCATTAGAACTCAATAAAAATGTCATTAGCTTATAGTAAGGCATAAAACGTCATAGATAGTAAGGCATAAGTCATAGTATAGTAAGACATAAAAAGTCAAAAAAACGTATCATAGGTATAGTAACGGCATGAATGTCATAAAAACATCATAGTATATGTAAGCAAAAAAAAAGTCAAATATAGTAAGGATAAGTAAAAAAGTCATCAATATAGATAAGGCATAAAAAGTCATAGTATAGTAAGCAATAAAAGTCAACAAAAAGTCATAGTATAGTAGGCATAAAAGTCATAGTATAGTAAGGCATAAAAGTAAAAAAACAAAAAAGTCCATAGTATAGGAAGGCATAAAAAGTCCATAGTAAAGTAATGGCATAAAAAGTCAAAAAAAAAATGTCACAGTATATTAAGCATAAAAAGTCAAAAAAAGTCAGAGTATAGTAAGCAAAAAAGTAAAAAAAAAAAGTCTAGTATAGTAAGGCATAAAAATTTAAAAAATTCATAGCTATAGTAAGTCATAAAAAGTCATTGAAACGTATAGTATAATGAAGGAAAAAAAGTCATGAAACTCATTAGTAGAGTAA